TCTCTCTCTCTCTCTCTCAGGGTAAGTCTGTGATCAGTGGAGGTTTGGATGCCTTGGAGTTCATTGGAAAGAAGACCATGACTGTTCTGGCTGAGAGTGACCCGGGTTTCAAAAAGACCAAGACCCTGATGCAGAAGACTGCATCACTGAGTCAGGCACGCAGCCACGCACACACAGACACACAGAAAAATCAATACGTCTTCTCCTCTCAGATATATAATGTAAAACTTGTGTATTGTGTGTCTATGTGGACAGAATAACTTCAGTGGAAATCCTCTCTGAAATGACAGCTAATTAAAGTTTTTTTTTTTTTTTTTTCAGATGTTGAAAGAAGCCAAAGAGAAAGAGCGTGCACGTCTGGGCAACCAGCCAATCAGTGTGCCCACAGCTCACTACGGTATTCTGTTTGACGACTACCAGGGCTTGTCACACCTCGAGGCCCTGGAGATCTTGTCCAATGAGAGTGAGGTCAAGGTAAGAAACAAGAGGAGGAATATAAAGTAAAAAAAACACACAGTCTTAATTAGGATAGTGTTGATAAAGTCATACAATCTGCTTCTAGGTCCAAGCTTTCCTCTCCTCCTTGGAGGAAGAGAAGCCAGGGAGGAGGTGAAGGAAGGGCTGATTTTTGATTAAGGACTCTGCCCCGAAAGAGGAGAGGAAGAGGAAAAAGAAGAAGGAAAAGGAGAAGGAGGACAGACGAAGGATAACGGTGATCTAAGTTCCCAATTACACTGTTCTACCTCCCTATGTGAGTGACCCAAACCAACCACCAGACCTGCTGGAGGTAGAGGCGGTCCCTGAGCACTGACCCAGGATCAGTTGACCTCTGTTTAAACTCTGGTGGAGGGACATAAGTCCTGACGTTGGATCAGAAGTTCAGGATCAGAACTCATATTTCACTTTGGTTGAATTTTCCATTCAGTCTTAAGTATCTTATGAGTTCCACAACAGAGGAACGCCGCTGATTTTACACGTGAAGATCAGTTTACGAGTCGTGTTGAAGTTTGCAGGTGTCTACCAAGCAAGGATGGTCTAATTAAAAGTATTCTGTTGTATTTTTGGAGCTTGACCCACAATGGAGACTAAAATCAGGACATCTATCTTGGCTTCTGCTGTCTCACAAGTCCTCTAAATTTATCGCAGCCCAATACTAAATTGCTGGAGTGCCCTTTTTAAAGCAAGACGCTCCCAAATTCCTATCATTTGATTTACTGAAAGGAACAGTTAACAGGTTCCTGGAGGCCACAGCAAACACCAAGACACAAGAAAACTGTTAATTGTGCTGTTAGCTTCAAAACAAAACCGTCCCCCTTAACCAGAGGTAGTTAAGGGCATGTACGATAATGATTGGGGTGGGGGCTGAATATTATTATATTATTAATATTATATAATATTATATTTAAGTTTATAAAAAACTAACTGATGAGCTTAACTCGACTGTAACTGCACTGCAACATCTTTCTTATCCCTACGTCTCAATCTGAACTAACAATTGTGTTTTAATTGGAATATAACAGAAACTCAAACATGTTCAATTATTTGCAGTAGCCTGTAAAACGACATGGGAACCGGTGTTGGAAGCGTTTTGTTCCTCATCTCCTGTCGTTGTCTCTTGCTTTCGATGTGGAAAATGTTCTACCAAAGTGAAATTCAGTGCCGAGGGGACGCCATGTGATGCCAAAAGCTATATGTAAAGTTATACTGTGCGACAGATGGCCTGAGGCGATGCCACAGCAGTGCAGAGTTCAAGGCAGACTGGTGTCCCTCTTACCTCGAGGGTTTAAACATGGTGGCTGATCCAGTGTTGGTGTTCGGGGGCCACTGACACATTAACATCACATCACAGACTCAAAACAAAACCAACAGAAACTTGATACAGAATCTGTCAGATCAAGACATTACATCTGCATGTGTACTGTGCACATTAAGCTCTAATTCTAATTTATATACAGGAGTTTGAATTAATTTGGCACGAAAACAAGAATCTGAAGTGCACCAAGTCTCTGTTGTGCTGTTAGCTGAAGGCAAACAAGAAAATTATCATTATGATCTCAGCATGGGGGAAATCAAACAATTGCACGTGCTACAAATCTGCTCTAATTTCACAGTTTATTGCATCTATTCCTTTAACTGTGTAGATTAGAGTATACTAACGTGTGGTATACGTGTGTGTGTGTGTGTTTCTGCCAGCGGCTGATGGCGAGGAGTTTGTGAGCGTTCTCACTGAGCTATTGTTTGAGCTTCATGTTGCTGCCACGCCAGACAAACTCAACAAGGTGAGTCACACACACATTCACAGACTCATTGATTCATAATTCATTTCCTAATACCAGGGGTTTTTAATGTAACACGGTACGTTTACTGTAGTTCTCAGTACAAATTTGAGGTATTTGTACTTAAAGTCTTTTTGTGCCACTTTGTAATAATAATAATAATGTGATAAACTTTATTTATATAGCACTTTTCTTAACAATCTTACAAAGAAATACTTTTAATAAGTATGTTTAACCTACAGTTATTTGACAGCTTTATTTTCTTTACATATTAAGTAAATTAGTCAATTACACACTTGACAGAAAAGTAATTGGCAACTAAGTTCAAAATATCATAATGTAATTTTTCATGCAAAACATTTTGTGCTTCCAGTTCCACAAATTTGGAGGATTTGCTGCTTTTCCTTTTAATTATTTTAACTTATTTATAATAATTTTGAGGTTTGGACAAAACAAGCATTGTAAAGGTCACTTTGAGTCTCCTGACTCCTTATACTACTGATTCTCACCAGGGTTAGTTTTTTTTTTCATTTTCTGTAGCTATTGTTGTTTCCACATTTAAATAATAATACATTGCACTGTTACTGCTACCAACTGTTGCATGAAACCAGTATTCTGGGAAATGTAGAAAATTAGTGCGTAGAAGTAAAGTCCACTGAGAGAATGTAGGTACCTCCCCCAAAGAGTGAATTACAACCATTAATTATAAATCATCACAGACAAACGTAGTAACAAACACAGAAAGCCTCTCAGAGTACATCAGTTTCCTTTAACCCTCATAATAAACTTAATTCTTACCTTAAATTGCAAAATGCCATCACCTTTCCCTCAGTTTTCTCCTTCTATTATTGGATACTGGGGTCCTCACACACAGAGAGACACAATTCTTTTTTAACATTCACTGTCCCCTGCTGCATAAGTAATATAAAAGTTATCGCCTTTGAAGTCCTTCTGCATATTCAAATTCATATATATAGCACCCACATTAGCATATAATCGTGTATACGCATCTGATTAGCATACATCAGGATGGGGATCTCTCACCATGCAGAGCTGATGGGTGGTAATTATGCATCTCCAGGCTCGGATGAGGGCCCATGAATGGGTGAGCGAGGTGGAACAGCCTGTCACTACAGAGACGGTTGGCAGGGAAACGCAGGACCAGCCGGGAGAAGAAGCCTCACCTGGAGAGAACGAGCAGGAGGAGAAGAAGAAAGACGGGGAGGAGAAGGGGGAGAGAAAGAGCGAGGGGGAAGAGATGAAGGAAGGAGAGGAAGAAAAAGAAGAGAAAGAGAAAGACCCCAAATCTGTAGAGGTGAGGTCGAGTCAACAATGAGACTTTGTCTTTATTTTCTAATTTAATCTCCCCCTCCTTTGCTGTCACAGGCTGACTGTATTTAATAGTTATTCTATGTGTGTGTGTGTGTGTGTGTGTGTGTGTGTGTATGTGTTCGTCTCCCTTTCTCCAGGCTGTCTACCTGTCATCAGTCGGCAGTCTGGCAGAAGTGACGGCTCGCAGTATCGAGCAGCTCCACAAGGTGGCAGAACTAATCCTCCACGGCCAGGAGCTGGAGAAACCAGCCAAAGACCAGGCACACATCCTCACCAGGTGGACAAGAATCTGTTCTTACACAAGCACATTGTGGGGACTCGTCCCCCACAACTTAAATCATTACATTTTACGGGGAAGACTTGTGGTTAGTGTTAGGATTAGGATTAGTGTAAGTCTCCAGGGAATGAATGTAAGTCAGTGTAATGTCCTCTGAAGTGATAAAAACACAAGTGAGAGGCTTTCTTGCTAAAAACCTACATTTTTATTCCAGGTTGACATGCGCCATGTGTAAGGAGGTGGAGTGTTTGGCCAAGAAGTTCTCTGATACACTGCTCCTTGTTGGGGTAGGTGAGAGGGATTGTGTGTGTGTGTGTGTGTGTGTGTATGAATCCAAAAAATACAAAACCAACATCCCTGTAGATCTCAGCCTCAAGGCCACTGGGTCTTACTGAGCATGTAAAATGGCTTTTTTTAAATAATATGTATATGTATGTATAATATGTCAAGTTGTTTTTCACATTTCATCCTTTGTTACTTAAGTAACTTGTTGGCAAGTAGCAACAACAGCTTCTTCCCTGGCAATGAAGGGAAATGTGTGGCTCATTAATGTGTTTTGAATAGTACAAGAATATAATATATATAAGGTCTCTGGCGCAGAGGATTAAAGCAGCTGTATATCACACTTTTTGTTGACAATGAGAAAAAAATCTAAAATATCAGCAGCAGTATCCTTTAATGTTTGTCTTTGTAGTTTTTTGTCTTTTCCAACCTATAATTGATCTTACATCTTTGCTCACTGCTGCTTCCTGTCTCTCATCTCTGGCTTTCTCTCTCAGGGCCAGAGGAAAGCAGAGGAGTTGAATCCACTGGTAGATAGTGTGCTGCTAGAGGTGAGATGCACAGATATTTTCCTCTGATGATTTTGATCATTATCCAGTAACGATGAAGGACTTTAACGATGTAGCAGTCTCAGCCTGATAATGACTGATAGGAATGTGTTAATAATGACTCTGACGAATGTGATAAGTGTTCATGTTTCACTTGATAATGAGAAACGAGGTGAGACACGTAAACATATGTTTGTAAATGAAGAAAAAAAACATTAAAATTTGATTCTTTTTATATAATATACATATATAATAATATATAGAATATACTTAAAATACACTTAATTCCAAGTGCAATCAACATGCTTTGTTTTTAGTATTTTGTACTAGTGAGCACTTTTTACTACTGTACTGTGTTTTTTAATAATGCAGTGAGGTTTTTGTTTCTGTGCTTGTTATATATGTTACATGTTCTCATGCTGCTTATATGTTTTGGTTCGCTAAAGACCATTTTACACTTGTATTGTCTGTGTCTGTCTTTGTATACATACATCTGTATTATATATATATATATATATATATATATATATTATATCTGTATATATTATTTTCACTCCCACTGTGTGGAAAACTACACTCAACTGTACACTCATTTTTACCTTTCCCTTTTGGTATATTTTTAAATACACATCTGTAACCAATGATGATGATGATGTTGTTTCTGTCTTCTATCTGCAGGGCTCCAACAGTAACAACTACATCCAGAATGCATTTCAGCTGCTGCTTCCCGTCCTGCAGATCTCCCACATCCAGAGCCAGCACTGTCGGTCCACCACAGAACCAGACGCACAGGCACAGCACTAACACTTACACACACTCACACACACATACACACACGCGCTACCTGCTCACCTGCTTGTCTTAATGTATCTATTGTTGTACAATAAAGAGAATAGATTATTCCAGATGAAGTGCTTTAAATCTCCATTAAGTGCCATAGCAACAGGCAGAAGATGTTTTATATATACATAATATAATCTTAAAGATAACAATTTAACAAGTAGTTACACATAGAAGTGACCCACATATATGTTTGTGCCTGTGTCTCTTCTCCGTTGTATCTCTGATTGTTATTTTGACTCTATTTAGCAGTTGATTTTTTTGCTTTGAGGAACCAAATAACGTTCAGAGCTAATTCGAGCTCAGCTGTGACTCATTCTAACCAACCAAGATGTTTCTCTTTCGTCTCCAAAGGCTAAACCAAAAACAGAAAATTACTGATTGTGTTGAAGGGACTCTACGTTAATGTATGTTAAGCTTTCTTTGCACTACTTATGGTCCATTGTTATTTCAACAGAAAGAGCATTGGCTGACACTAGTGAAGTTGCTTTAATCTGGTTTGAGACAAAATGCCAGTATTGGTGATTATACACAACACTTTTTGCTTGTTTTTTTTATGTTAAATTATATGAAGAAACACTACCTTATATTTTACTTTTATGCAGTTTGATTTGAAAGAAAAATCTGATCTTCATACTTTAAATTAGGAAATATTTAGTTCTCCTTCTCCCTTCTCGTGTACATTGACAGTGTAATGTAGGTGAATTCATCTCTAATTATCTTTTGTTGTGCTGCTACTAAATGAATCGCTTTCATGCAAGAGTTAGATAAGATCGATAACCGCTCTCATATCTGTATGATAAACAGAAACTTACACCCAGCAGCAGGTTATAGATTAACGCAGAGACTAGAAATAGCTAGCCTGGTTCTGTACAAAAGATTTTATTAGCACATTGTATCGTCGTAAAAAACAACAACATGTTACAGGGGGTAATGTGCAGGAAGTAGTACAGATTTAAACCTGCAGTAACTGATCTTTTGGCTACTTGGGTTCAGCAGAAAAAAGATGAAATTCATTATACAACCCTGAGTTGTAAATTACAGTTAAATAACCTTGAATCCTTGATATGGTGAACAGCTAAACAATGAGCTGAAACTCGGTATAAAGCTCCATAAAGCAGAGGGGAGCTGCAGATACAGGTGATAATTCTTTGTAGGTTCATCATTACGAGCGACCCCTTTCACATTGTGATTTGATACATTATCATAAAAAATAAAATAAAAATATTATAGCCGCTTTAACAAACAAGATATACTGGTAATGTGTTGATTAGTGATGTTGGATGTTGTTACCTCTGGATAGAGTCAGACTGGCCGCTAGCTACATATTTACCATACAGACATGAAATGGTATCGATTTGCTCATCTAACTATTGGCAAGAAAGAAAATGAGAGAATCTGAACACCTTGATTAAGGCATGAGATATGTGGGTGTTTTTGTATTCCAACTTTCCCTGAATAAAAGTTTTTTTTGCTGACAGGATCTAGATTTATATACTTCTTGCCCCCCGGAGGTCTATATCTCATCTCCCATTTTCCTTTTTACCCTTTTTCTTCAACCACCTGTGGAGTTTCAGCAGCAGTCCAACGATGCTGCAGTGCATATGTTTTTTAATATACAGTGTAAAATTGGCTCTACGCTTCTAGCCCCCAGATACATTGATCTCTGGAAGACATAAAGTACTCGCTTCCCCTTCTTACTTACTACTTACACTGACATTGGCAAGAAAGATATTAAGCAAAGAAAATGTATTTCTGTCCTGTTGTAATTGTTTTGGCTCCTTTCAGCTGGAGCCAGATGAAATAAGGCTGTTTACCAGCTGTGATCTTTAACCCTACAAATGATTTGTAATGCTGAATGAAAAATGTTTGAGAGCCAAGTCATTTATTTTAGGTTTGGACAGTTTACTAATGTAATAAGATTCCCTTATAATAAGTGCCCTAAGACTGTTTGAGGATGACATGTTGAAAATAAAAATATTTTAACCATCTTCATGTGCCTCAGATGTTTTTATTTTACCCTTAAAGGCAGCTGGTAATTGAAGCAGTCATTTTTAATTTCCTCCAGTGCACTTTAAGTCCATTTCTGTGCTCCTCTGGCTGCTCCTCTGTCACCAGGCCTGCTCCTCTATGAGAGAGGAGGTGGAGGGATGCGATGATGCAGATTTGCTAAATATAGACAAGATAAAAAATATAATAAACAGACCGGAGTTATATGGCAGTGAAAAGAGTCAGGGTTGGGTTATCTCAGCATGAGGTAGATTTGACTTCCTGTTGCAGTGCATTTTATTCAGGTTTCAACCGTGCTGAATATCTTATAAACACTTAATGGTGCAATGATGTGCAAATTATAGTAAAACATAAACCAGGTGTAAAAGTGAGGATGGAGGTACTGTATAGGAAAATATCAGTGATTGAAAGCACTCAGTTTTTGATGTTAGCATTATAAACTGTTATAATTTAACAGTTTTAGTTAACTACTGGCCATTATCGATGCAAAATACACAATACAATCAACAAATACATTCTGATGCATATATATATATATTCCACCTTTCCATCAGATGTCTGATGACTTTCCCTACTTCCCCATCACCTGACTGCTCCACCCATTTACACACCTGTTTCTTCATCTGCTCTGCAGTCACCTGACTGTCCTCACCCACCTCCTCACCTGCACCTCATTCCCTCATCAGCCCGGCACATATTTAACCAGCCCTTTCCTTTTACCCCTGCCAGGTTTTCATTACATGCACAAAATATTACGGTTTTGCCTTTATTCCGAAAAAAGACAATATCCCTACTAGCTGTTAATATGGCAATTAAAAGTTAATATTCCATTAATACTCTGTTTGCATGCAGCTGTGCATACTCATCAATGTATAACGTACTGTACATCCTACAGAGGACTTTCTCCTTTTCTATATCTTTCCCTCTTTTTCAAACTGTAAGTTTACCTGTATAAGAGTGGTCGACATTTCCATCCATCAGAGTTTCTATGTCATCTGAAAAATGTTTGAAGACCATATAATAATGAATAATACACAAAGTGAAAGAATTATATGATCTGATTAATTTATTATAAAAGTGTGTGTGTGTGTGTGTGTGTGTGTACAATTACCTTGACTGTCAACTTCTTGAATGGGAGACAGATCTGCCCATTGAAAAAAAAAACAGTTGTAAAATATCTGAAACAACCGATTATTTATATGATTTTCATTAACACCGTGTGTATGCTTTGAGGGACTGACCTGACCAAAACCGGGACCTATTGCAGTGAAGGCTCCCTATTGGACAATAAGAGGTCATTAGAAAATACATTTTACAATCACATCAAAATAAGAGTATATGAGTTTATGTAGTATTATTGTGTTTTTTTACCAAAGTCAATTACCTTTGTGAGTGATGATTTGTGCGTTCTGCTTCCCACCATCTAGTTTAAAGATCATTAGAAACATTCAGTATTACTCATTTTTATAATGAGTCCCTCCCCTGATCTGTCTGGTTTCCTCATACAAGATGACTGACACACAAAGGCACTTTTCACAGAAGGTCATGACACACATAATACTCTTTCGGGTTCTTTTCTCAGCATTATGATGAAATGTGGGCTGAGCTGAAGATGCTCTGATACAGTCAGCAGATACTGTATCAGAGCAGAGGTTTTTTGCAGAGGCAAAAGTGAACAGACATTAGGGGAAATAAAGGAAATGTAAAGTAGAATAGAAAGTTGTTCTTAAGAAATGAAAATTCTGAGGGCACAAATTTAAATTTACCATTCAACAGCTGACCAGTGAATCTGTAACCAACAGGCTGCTCCTTGGGCTTTTCTGACAAAAATACGAGACATTTTCAGGTCAGCTTCAAAAGATCAAACTCAGCGTGTGTGTGTGTGTG